AAGGGGATCCGCTATCAATGCATCTCTTCGTTCTTTACCTGCATCCACTAGTGTGCAGACTCGAAAGAGTGTGCGGGAATGATCTGCTAGTGGCGTATGCGGACGACATCAGTGTGATCGTCACATCAACCAGGCAAATCGATGAGATAAATAGGCTGTTCACTCGTTTCGAGAGAGCTGCTGGCGCAAAATTAAATTTGCGGAAAACTGTTGCCGTCGATGTTGGCCTTTGCGAAGGCAACAGAATCAACACTCAGTGGCTACAAACAGTCAATGTAGTTAAAATTCTGGGTGTTGTTTTCGCAAATTCAATACGACTGATGACAACGATGAACTGGAATGCGCTAGTGGGGAAGTTCGCACAACAAATGTGGCTGCATTCTCTGCGCACGCTGACGCTGCACCAAAGGGTCATCATGCTCAACACGTTCGGAACGTCCAGGATATGGTACCTCGCGTCCATAGTACCACCGTTGGGAGTGCATACGGCAAAAATCACATCAGCAATGGGTACGTTCCTCTGGAGAGGGACTGTCGCCCGTGTCTCAATGATGCAGCTGGCACGCAGCAGAGAGAATGGAGGCCTGAAGCTGCAATTACCAGCTCTGAAATGTAAGTCACTCGCAATCAACCGACACCTACAAGAGATCGAATCCCTTCCTTTTTATAGATCCCTTCTTTTCCACGATAATCCCCGCCCAGCCATCTCAATAGATCTTCCCGACCTTAGACAAATCCTATCAAACTTATCCCAAATTCCCCACCAAATCCAACAGAACCCCTCCACCGATCAAATTCACCAGTACTTCGTCCAGCAAACTGAGCTACCAAGGGTGGAACGTAACAGTCCAGCAAGTGGCTGGTCACGCATATGGCGAAACATTGCATCGAGGCAACTTACTTCAGCGCAGAGGACGAAGCTTTACTTGTTGGTGAACGAGAAGATAGAGCACCGCAAACTGCTATTCGTGATGCGGCGAGTAGATGACGAAAACTGTACGCATTGTGGCAACCGTACAGCAGAAACTCTCTCCCACAAATTTTGTGCTTGTGCTCGCGTCGGCCCGGCTTGGACGGTTCTTCAGCAGAGAATAGCAATCATCTTGGGTGGATGGAGGCGACTCGAGTTCGAAGACTTGCTAAGACCTGCCCTATTAGGAATAAACGACAGACATAGAGTGGCAATTCTGAATATGTTTATTACATATATCTGCTTCGTTAACGATTGTAACGGAAGAATTGATTTAGCTGATTTGAACTTTAATCTTGATGTAGCAAATTGACGGTAAAACAAAAAAACTTTGTATGCTAAACTGACAAATAAAACTTCACTTTTACAAAAAAAAAAAAAAAAAAAAAAAAAAAAAAAAAAAAAAAAAAAAAAAAAAAGATATATGACAAAATCGCTAATTGCAACTCTCATGCAGTAACATTGGCTGGTATTATGTGTCAAACACAAACTCCACAATATTTTTTTGTTGCAAACAAAATATTTTTATAATATCTTATTATTCCATTATTTCATACAACATTTTTTTAGCCAAAATGAATGGAAGGCACCCTGAATGCAACTATGACTACCGTTTGAAAAGTGGAGGAAGAAGCACAAATGTTACCCACACCTTCTACATGGATGACTTGAAGCTGTTTGCGGAAACAGTGGAACCAGTACGTACCCTACTACAAGTACTTGCCAGACCCGGTACTGGAAAATAGTTGCATAAAACTGTACTGGGATCGCGAGATCATTACGGATATTCACATTCGTGCCAATCGCCCTGACATTGTGGTTTACGACAAAAGGATGAAGAGGGTAACCCTCATCGATATCGCTGTACCGTTAAATCGCAATGTTCAGTCAACGCTCTCGACCAAGATACTGAAGTACCACGATTGAGGAGTTGAAGCAGATGTGGCACCTGGAGGATGTGCGTATAGTTCCGGTAGTAATCTCGGCGACCGGAATTGTTCCCCGTACCCTTATACGTTCCCTTGAAGAGTTGGAACTACGAAGAGAACTTAACAGCATTCAGAAAGCAGTCTTTCTTGGAACCTGTATTATCCGGCGGTTCCTGAATCATAACTGATCCGATTGAAGCAAATAAATTAGGATGTAAGTCAACTGACGAATGAGATCCACAGAGCCTAACCCCCTTGGCATAAAGACAGCCCGGGGTAGGTGAAATTTCCCAGCATTTTTGCTGAGAAGTGCCAAAACTCTATAATAATAATAATAATAATAATAATAATGAGCTTCTAAAAATCTAATACCTGTGTCGTTTCCTATGTACTTGAAAATCTACCAACTTGGGTTCTTGATTTTTTTTAGTTGAATGATTTTTCCTCACAGTTCAAGAATAATAAACAAAAAAAATCAAACTAGGCTTCTTAAAAAAAAAACAATTTTAGTGTCAAAACAATTTCTTTAAAAAAAATCATCCACCAGTGACGGCTACTCGGTTTTGTGTTAGCTTTCTCTTCACAGTTTTCCTTGGCCTCCAGGGTCGTCACGTGTATTTCCACTACTTCCTTCTCAAGCATCTCTACTTCCTCTTCCGTTACCTTGTCGTTGTTATCCAACTGTCACCTCCTACCACCCCATTAAAGGAAAAATAATTGCTTGGGGTTGTGTAGCAATTAATAATGCATTGATTTTTTTTTCTGATTTGAGCTTAATAAAAACTACCTTCTGCTCTGCGATCCACTACGTTGCCTCCATCGCAATGGGATTTGCATCCAGTGCCTCCACAAAACCAACAATTTCGCCCATGGCGGGCATAGCACATCCATTGGTATAGTCAAATTCAATCGTGTTCTTTACTTTCAGCAACTTCCTTGCTTTTAACGCCGACGTCAAAAGGTATCGATCAATAAACAAAGCACACCGAAACAAAAGCTGCTATTGCCTATGCGGACAACCGCGTGACAAACACTGCGACGCACAACCGGCTTAAACAAGAGCAACTGACCATTATATAGGGCAAATGTTTGCTTTGGCAATACTTTAACCTATTATCGTCAGGGGGTGAACAACGTCCTTGAGGGCTCAATTAAGGTATGTGGATACATTGTGTTTGAGAGCATCTATTGGCCAAATTTGAGTGCTCTAGGACTTTGTTTACTCCCCTGACGATAATAGGTTAAAGTATTGCCGAAGCCAACATTTCCCCTATTGCTTTGAAGAGACGAACCAGCCAAAGGCTGAAAGTCTATGTCAGCGTTTTTTAACCGGTGGGGAATATCCCCCTAGACAACCATACTACCCTTAGTGCGTGTAAGCGAGTTTTTTTGGTACGGGAATGGAACAGAAAAGGTTGAAAACCACTAGTCTATGTAATAAAGTTATAATAAAATAATATACACTGGAGTCGCTTTTTACGCGGTTTTTTTACACGGTTTTTTTCACGCGGTTTTTTTTACGCGGATTTCGGAATTTACGTGGGTTTTTTTACGCGGATTTTGGTTTTTTTTACACGGATTTCAGAATTAACGCGGTATATCGTTATACACTAGAGTCGCTTTTTACGCGGTTTTTTTTACACGGGCTTTTTTTACGCGGTTTTTTTTACGCGGATTTCGGAATTTATGCGGTTTTTTTTTACGCGGGACGTATCACCCGCGTAAAAAGCGACTCCAGTGTATTACTTGTTTGAGTTGTTAAAATATGATCCACTTTTCTTTAGCGCCTCGGAAAAAAAAATGCTTCCAATATATTAATTTATTTCCACGAGGGGTGTATTTTAGGTTAATATTTTATACAATATAATTTTTTTATGGAATATACACAACATAATTACTGGAAATTGACCCCTTCGGAGTCGAATCGCACTTGCAGTTAAAAAAAAATAGATTTACAAGCCACCTTTAGAAAGATACATTTAATTTTTAGTTCAAACCCGTTCGATAAAGAGAGGAAAAGTGTAGGTTGTGCTTAGTATGACGGAAATTGAATCTTAGCCTTGTAACTTAAACATAAGAAAATAATTAAACATATCACTGTTAATAAAGGACATTTTATAAACAATATTAACTGCACCTTTCACCAAATTGGGGATCACAATAGTGCACGTGATCTTTTGTATAAGAGGCATATATTCTAATTTCCGAAATGCTCGTGAAATTTTAGGGAAATTCCTGAATGATCGTGATATCTGTCTGTTCGGGAGGAGCGGTATCGTTCAGTTTTGTTACGGGATAAAATTTGCACGACAGATGATAAATGATATTTAAAAAGAACGATGTAATTCAAGAATAATAAACGCTAGTAGAAATGCCATAATTATAAAATGTCGTAGTTAGAGTGAATATGAAATAAATAAATGGTATAAGTTAGATTAGGATTGATGATTAAAAGAGGTTTATGTATTTTAAATTGCGATTTAATACCAAAGCTAGAAACATAAACAAACATAAGAATTCAAACAAATTGAGCACACTCTTAACGATTAGAATTAACTAAATAATGACAGAAATGTAGAAAATGATGGGATTTAAAAATTGAGCCGAATTAAACTATTATAAATCGAAACTGGTTACAACCTACATTGCTATTGCTACTAGAGTAATATAATTTCAAATAAGATTAACAAATAATACTAGAAATGCACTATTGTTTAAGGCGTCAGCTTGGCATGCAATGGTCAGTTAGTGATGCGTCTTCTTGCGTCGAAAAAAGCTCTGATTGGATTTATCGTTTCTGCGTAAGTTCCCAACGCTGCCACTAATAAGGCTCATCGTGTCAGGAGACTGAGCAATCATGCTACTGCGATGGTCGATTGCCTCAGCCGAAGAGGTGTTAGTGTCAAGCGATAGTTGTTCCGGCGTGATCATCGTAAGCATTGAGTGGGTGCGTTGCAGTTCAACTCCCGTCGCAGTGGAAGACCGTTGGCGGCGGTTTTTCTTACGCATAAAAGTGCCGCCACGTGTGAGCGGTGAGAGGAGTTTTTTCGACGGAAGAGAATGGAACCGTTCGTTCACAATAAACATCGGATCATACTCACTGCTGTAGGTGGACGCCGACACACTTGTCATCTGTTTCTGGTATTCCAGCGGTTTCTTACCACTCCAATCAAGCAGATCGCGGTCCGCTTCTAGAATAGAAAGATAGATGGATCGAATCAAAGAAGGAAACAAGACATCAATCAGTTCAGTATAAATGGAATCAATCAAATAAATTGATTATTAATAAGAGTGTTTTGACTAATCCCCCCGATCCCTGCGTGAAGCTCATTCATAATTCAGAAATACCTATATGGCCAATGAAACGGTTGTGAAGGAAACGAAGATAACGAAAATTCTCTCGAGAAACTGGTTCATTATCAACAATCAAACAAATTTAAATATTCTAGTGATATGTACAAGGCCGTTTCGTCACTGCAAATGGACGATTTATTTGTTGAAAAGAGACATCGATGATCGCTTCCATGAAATGTGATATCTTTATTTGATAATTATCCACAGTGACGTTCTGAGCAGTTGTCATTTATCCATACCGCGAGTGTGGGGATGGCTCTATTCGAGAATATTGTGACAACCGAGGAACTTATGTAATGTGTTTGGATCCTCACATTTCCGTTGATGCATAACACGAGCTGCGCGCCGTTTTCTTATCGCATGTCAATCAAAATGCTGCGATCAATTTATTTATCTTATCGTCTGACTTTGCACGAGTAATTGGCGGCAATGGCTACGCCAAAATTGTGGCGAGACATGAAAAAAAGTGTAGGTTTTACGTTACGCTTCCACAATCGGTTAAAATTTCTACTTGGAAAGTTTTGTGCGACTTTCGGTAAAAAATTACTCGTGGGTCTGGATCGATCGATTTCATACTCTTTTTTTTTACCACTACAACCTCGAGTGACCTCACAATTTCAACTGTGCGGTCTTTTCTGAACATCTGAATAGCTGTCGATCATCCGTGACTCCATCAATCAGTCTTTCTATTCACATTGTTCCTGCGCAGAGCTGTAGGTAATGATTTATAGCGCTATTTTGATGATTTCGATTTTCACCATCTTGTCACAAAGTGATTTGGATTGATTTATTTAATCGAATCATGTTCACATGGAACGATTGTTGGTTGAAGAATGATCGACCTTGGGCGACTTCCGGTATACAGAAGATAAAAAAAACTAAAATAAACGATATACTTACTATAGACGTTGCATAGCAGTTCAAAGATGTCGTTCCGGCCAAATTGCATCGCAATATGTAGAGCACTGTAACCCTAGGGTGAAAGAAAGGTAAAGATTGTTTAGTATTTTTCGTGCCGAATCAAATCAAGTTAAATTATGCAGAGCAAATCTAGCAAATTTAGAATGGTTATTCGGACTGAATAATCAAGTTATAACTGAACACGAACGAACGTATCGAAAATCCGTAACGAATAGCGAAACCTCCGAATCGAAAGAGTTAAAAGCGGAAAGTTATTGCGTGAATAATTAAAATATTTAAAATAGCAACAAACGGTTGTTACCGGATTGTATCGAATCGTGAAAATGGTAGGCCTCCTAAAAGCAAGGCGTGAGTCTATATGTTTGAGTACGAAAAATTTTGATTGACAGCTGACAAGCGGTGTATAAGTGTCACCAGCCACCGCTGCCTTTCGTGCGCTTGTGCTGGGGAAGTTTGATGCGTGATTTTTTTTCCAGAATTGCTATAAAGAAATCAATTTTCGATGGATTGAAAGTAATTAGGACCAAGAAACGATGTAAAAATTGAGTAAGAGTTACAATCCAGTATGTAATAGATGTATTGGACAAATAAACTATGTTTCTTGTTCTCACTTGTTGTGGAAATTTGTTAGAATAACCACTCAACGATAAAATTCTTTGGTCACGTCTTCCTTCGGAAGGGAAGTAAAGCCGTTGGTACCGGCCCATGTGTGTTTGAATAGGTGCGATATACTACGCAGGTGTGGAAGCTGCCTTCCTGCACATTCGATTGTCGTCAATTGATGTTGGTGATAGGCACTAGATTGCGGAACAGAGACCAACGTTAAATAAAGAAATGAAGAACCACCCAACGAACGTTTTTCTGGCTCGCAACTTACTGTTCTTGATGCACGTCCACAGTTATTAATTGAGAGATTTTTATATCAACCAATGCATGAATTCCTATATTGTGTGGCAAAGCATACTATATGCCCAGGGAAGTCAAGAAAATTTCCAACCCTACAGTTTTCCTTAACCAGACTGGGAATCGACCCCGGTTCCTCCGGTTTTCTAATACCGTGCCTTTACTGACTAAGCTATCTGAGTCCCCAGAAAACAAACCACTCATGATTTCACCTGTACTCTAAGGAATTGGTTAATTGAACTGTGTTATAAAATCAGAGACTTAGGAGAAATTCTTCTCTTAAAGTAAGGACTGTATCGAAAATTATTTGTAAACTAAATTATTCTTGGTGTCAACACCCCCCGTGGACAAGATGGACCTCCCACCCTCCAGACCTATCCAGAAAATTGAAAGCGGAGCGATCTATGTTTGCATTACATCGATATTTTTCCAGAATAAACTATGCTGCTGTTTTAAATTTGTGAATGTATTACCTATTTACCGCTGATAATCTGCCTTCATCTTTGATATTGATAGAAGTCACATATCGCACTTATTACAAGTCAAATCAGCCGTATACATGGCTATTTTTTGGACTCTAACGTTGAAGATCTTCTCAAAATTATCAAGCGATTTGCCGTAAAATTCCTTTACCCTACTAAAATTCTAGGGGTTTATTACTCTAAGAATTAAATCCCCACATAAGCGGTACCTTTGAAAAAATAGTACCGACCTGGCAATCGTACAAATCCCTCTCCTATAATAACAGTCGACTATATACAAACTCAGTCTCATATTTCGTCTGGCCATAGTCTACGTTCCATTAAAATTTTTAAAAATTTGCATGGATAAAAGTCAACGAGGGCGAAAAAGGCTCTGGAATGGTACCATGGAGACCAGTGAACCAGGAAATCTGGAAAACCGGGAAAAGCCAGGAATTCGAAAATACTAAAAAAAAATCGGGTAAAACCTGTGAATTTCGATCAAAAATCTGAAAAATGTACATCGCCCCATTTTCAAAAAAAAAAAAAAAAAAAAAATTTGGACTTTGAAAAAAAAAATTGCAAACCCTTGTCCTGGACTAGATTTTTAGGATAAAGTCACTTAGAAGACCTAATAAAAGTATTAAGAAAGAGAGAAAGATCAGTAATTTCCATTTAATTCCACTATCTTATTTGCTTATCCTTGATAGATACGCGTATTTCGTCTACAATGTGCAGACTCTCTTCAGTGTCTGCACATTGTAGACGAAATACGCGTATTAAATGGAAATTACTAATCCTTCTTTCTTTCTCATACAGGTATTGCACTATAGACGCCCACATTCATGCGGATACCTAATAAAATAATTTCACCAATTTTGAAAAGATTTGATTTAAGAATGAATTATAGAGATTTTTATTATTTTTTTTTTGTAGATTCATTTTTTTACCAAGGTTCAAATGCGGAAGCTTTGCGGAGCCGTCATTAGTTTTACTTTTTACACTGTTTATTAATACTAGAGTTAGTACAAGAGGAGTCCGAATACTAGCGGCTTACTCGAGGTTATGGGTTGCAATATATTAACAGGTAGGGAAGGGATCAAGGAAAAGGTGCACAAAGATGCGATTGATATATTTATTTCCACCGCCGTTGAATGGCTGTGCGATGATTGACCATGGGAGATATTGCCTTGACGGGAAAGTGCTCTTGATCTCTCTCGAGATGACTGATGGTTGTTTACAACCAAAAGGGGCTTGAGAAGGGACAACGATGAAAGAATAGATTATAAAATTGATGCACGAGCAGACAAAACTCTACCATACTCTCAAACGTTAGTATTTTAAACGTCAAAGTTGATATTCGACCAAAGCAATGGCCATTTAGAAGCTAGTTGCTTCAAAAGTGTTTTCAACATTAGAACATTGGTTCCTCATGGAGTCAGACACATTCAATATTTTGAGAATGCCATCTACAATTCCAGAAAACGTGAACATGGCTTCGTGCTGTCCTGGCTGTAGAACTGGAACATCTGGAGCCTTGGAAGATTCTGGAAGTCGCGGAAAGCCCCTATCAAAATCAAATGATTTGCGACTCGATGCAGGGGCTTTTGGAACATTACCGCCACTTCCTGGTTCCTTCAAGATGACTCGAGGTTCAATACGAGAGTCGTACTATCGGCTGTTGCGTGGTGATTTTGGATTGCTTTCTAGGTGGGGCATTAAAAACGCCAACATTATACCAAGATTAATTAAGTCGAATTAAATGGAAGATAAGCTCTTTTTGCTGTTTTATTTTATTAAAAGCCTTTTGTTTACGCTGGAAAAGACAACCCACGGACCTTTCGATTCTTCTGGGTAAGCCTTAGAGCGGGGCAGGTAATGTTCTAGGTGGAACAGATGGAGCAGGGGGCAATGGAGGAGCTGGTTGAGAGGGGGGCTGTAGAGATTGTTTAACCTTTGGATACGCTCCAGTGTACTTATTGGTCGATGAACCATCACCACCAGATGTCTCGATGAACATTTCAAAAGGTCCTATCTGCTTTGATAGATTCTCTTCATCGACTCTTCTGATAACCACTGCTATGCAAACAGATTTCACAGCATTTTTTTCCACATAGTTTGATAACGTCGAAAACGTCAAATACAACAGGGAAAGGTTTGGCAGCTGAGTTATTAATGAAAGAGCAAGTCGATGAAGAGAATCGATCAATGCAGATAGGACCTTTTGAAATGTTTATCTAGATGTATTCCTCGTCTTAGAAGAAGGAAGATCCAGCAGAGAATCATCATCGGACAGTGAGATCCCCCCGCCATCTCCTAAAATATCCATTGCGGGTACTCACGTACCACAGCAACAGATTTACCTCAACACAGAGAAAAGGTAACAAATATAAAACCAGTCGCACAGGAAGGAGGAGACAAAAAAACCAAAACTGCTATCTTCAACTTCTCGACGATCTTAATGTGCGGAGTACACGACGATCTTAATGTGCGGAAGATGGTGACGATGTATGTAGTGGTGGACATGCTTGGCATACACAGTTGTTCACACCAACTGCTCATTTGCTAATAACTTCGCACACAGTTTACGTAACATAGTTCTTGTTGACGTAGTAGATAGAATAGAGTTTAAGCCTGTTATAGATACGTAAAAACAAGTAGATTTTAATTCTAATAATAAACTGTATTTGTTTTTGCGTTGTAAAAATGAAGTGAGAAATGCTCACTGCACATCTCGTACTTTAAGTGTAAAAAATAATTGGCGTTGATTCAAATGTTAAGATTTACCTACTCTTTGCATATCTATAGTAATCATAGTTCATAATCATTAAAGAAAAACAAATTTGAACAAGTGATAGTGAAAAGTTATTAACAAATGAGCAACTGTACAACTGTGTATGCCAAGCATGGTGGTGGAAGCAAAACTATGCGATGCGGCTGTGAACGGCTGTTTCCCTCGAATAGCGTTGCTGGTTGCATGAAGCACTAACACTTGATCACTTGGAAATGAACACTTTATAAACGGATTACTGTGAACAGAGCGAAAAAAACACTAAACCGCCTTGGCCGAACGCTCGATGTGAATTGAATTATTTCAAAGTATTTCAGTGAAAATCTCCAATAGAGTTACGTGAAGAACTCTACGAGAGCTTTAATTACAACTCCAACTCAATTGTGAGGGTTCAGAGTAAAATCTATGGAAAATTCCATGACGATTGTGAAGAGGATTCCAGGATTTGTGAAAATACTAAGCTAATAAAATTTTGAGGGAAAATTCAAAAGAATCCTGCAAACAGTTTTAAGGGGAGGATATTTCTATGGGCATATTTTTGTTTTAATTTTAAGGAGGAAAAATTTAGAGGAGATTTCCCATATTATTCTGTGCTAAATTTTAAGACATTACTGAAGTTATCTAACGATGAATTTCATGAAGATTTTGGAGTGTTCTGCAGAGAATTTCTGTATCGGTATGAAGACATTTTCAAGGGGTTCCCAGAGTAAATCTCAAATTTATTTTAGAAGAATTTTGAAAGGAACTTTCTGATTCTACAGAAAATGTTTGAGAACAATCCAATAAAATCCTGTTAAGAGTTTTGAGCAAATTTTCAAGGTAGTTATAATTTGATAAACAATAAACCAAATTCAATATCCGCGAAAAATGCTACTAGTCTTAGTAATGACCC